CGGGCTCTGGAGCGCAGGCTCAGTAGTTGTGGCGCATAGGCTCCATTGCTCCGAGGCATGTGGGATCTTCCCGGACCAGGGACGGAACCCGTGTCCTCTGCATTGGCAGGCGGATTCTTAACCACTGCATCACAAGGGAAGCCCTGCACTACAGTATCAACGATGGTTGCCATGCTAGACATTCCACACCCATCCACATCCTTTCTTGATCAGTAGGGTAGGTACAGTTCTAAGATGGCCTGCATGACCTTCACACCCTCGTGTTTCTCTCGTTATATGGCAAAAGGGAGATGGGCCTAAACTTACTACCTGAGCCCTTTAAAAGCAGAGAGTTTTCTCCGGATGGTATTGGAAGAGAAAGTCAGAGGGATCTGAAGAGTGACAATGACTCCATTGCTGGCTTTGAAGATGGAGGACATCACACACGACAAGGAAGGCAGATGGCCTCTAGGAGCAGAGAGTGGGAATTGGGGACCTCAGAGCCCCAGCTGAGAGGAATCCTGCCAACAACCCTGGACGAGCTGGGAAGTGGACTGTCCCCTAAACTCCCCAGACAAGAGCCCAGGCCGTCCAACACGTTGATTTCAGCCCTGATTTCAGTCTCCAGTGGAGTCCACGGGGACTTCTGACCCACAACTGTGAGACAGGCAGTGGGTGTTGGTTTAGGTCTCTGAGTTTGTGGCAATCTGTCACGCAGAATGGAAAACTAATACGATCAGTTTTGCGTCACCATGCAGCTGGCTTTCCTTCTGTTGGATGTTTCTAGATCCAGCCTGTTTCCTCCTAAAATTCCTGAAATGGTTCTTTGCCTCCCCGGAAGGTGGAATCCTCAAGCTCTGGATGCCTCTGAGCCTGGCTCTTACCATCCCCAACTCTGTGGTTTGCGGTGGGAGATTTCTCGATTTCAAAAAGTTCAAAGTTTCAAAGAGTTAAAGCTAGGGGGCAGTGTCGGGGCAGGTGAGGAGAGTGGAGGTGAGGCCCACGGCTGTCAGGGAGGGCTCATCTCCCAGGGGAAGGAGCTGCCTGGGGCCTCCTGGGATTCTGCTTGCCTTCCACACCCTGCTGTGTAAACTTCTGATAGATATCACTGGATCGAAAGTTTCAGACCAGAGGTGCCTGAGGGATGACCCCTAAGATGGCTTGAAATGACAGGAGGAAGGTTCCAGGCCCCCACAAGCTGCCCCAAAGCCTTGGATGTAAGATGTGGGATCCCAGCCTGGAGTCTGAGAAAGGGGTGTGATCCCAGGGACCAACAGCTAATCCTACAGAAGCATGAACCCTTAAACTACTCCAGAGACACGGATGCCACTCCGAAAGCAGCTCTTTGTTCTAAAGCACTTCCTCACCTGCAGCTTTGGGACACTGACTGCTGTTTGGGGACTGTGTGTGTGGCGTAAGTGACAGACATGGAGATGTCCTCCTACCTGGTTGCTGGCAGGCTGGGCTCCTTCACGCCTCGAGGCCCTATTCCTCCTTTTTCCTTCCCACCCCCCGCCCCCAATCAGGAAGCACTAACAGCGTTGAGAGTAAGTCCCTGAAGGTCTTCCCTCCTCTTGCCTCCCGTTACCCATAAAACACCCGGAACCCTACTTCCTGCCTGTGCTGATGAGAACCATTCACTTCTGGAACCAATCAGTTATTTCTGCTTTAATGAGCTGGTGTCTTTTCTTGCTGAGAGAACTCCAATCATCTTAACTCCATCTTTTTTTTTTCTTGAAACACTCCTGCATCTGGGAGCCCCGATCCCTCTTGAGTGGGCGGTCTTGGGCTTCTTTCTGTGGGTCCAGGGCCCGGGGTGGACAGGCTGAGGGGCTGGGGGAGAGGCGTGAGGGTCTGTCCGTGACCCCTGCCTGTCCCCCCATCCAAGGGGAAGCCCTCTCGCTCAGGCCTGGGAGAATCGCTGGCCCTCCTGGAGTGGCTCTGCCCCTTTCTGTGGGTTTGGGAATGAGTCTGTGGATCTGTGGCTTCACTTGTAATCAAGAAATCTGCCTAGACCCACAGAATTTCTTCTGCTCCCGGGCTGGGCCCCTTTGGAAACCTGAAAAACGCAAGGAGTCTCCGAGTGAGGTATGCACACACGTGTAAAGCCGTGTGGGTGAGGGTAAGCCTGTGTGTGATCACAGGGATCCTGAGTGTGACTCTGCACAATTCCTCACTTCGGGGAAACTTGACGCTCCAAGACCGGGAAAGAGGGAGGGAGGGAGGGAGGGGCCTGGGGAAGGGCTGGGCCGCCCCCCACCCCAAGGCCTCCCCGGAAGTGCGTTGAGCCCTTAGAGGCTGAACTTCTCAAACAACACCTCACAGATACAGCAGAACACGGTGGGGCCGTGTGCATGGGGGTCAGCATAACCATCTGTCCTGCGCCCTTTCCTGCCTCCCAGGAAACGGCCCAGGAGGCTCAAAGGTGAGGGGAAGCTGTATTAGAGGCATATCCTTCACCCCCAACCCTGGCTCTGGAGGCCCAGACATCTCCCTCCAGTGAGAGACTCTACCCATCCCCCTCTCAGCACCACCCCCAGAACTCGCCCTCCTGGGTTTGCGGGATGACCTCTGCCCTCCTGAAACCCAGTCCCCCCGAAAACTGAGCTCCCCTGCCAAGTTTACAATCAACCTCTCTATCCAAAACTTTATTCCCTTTCTTGTCCTGCCCCTGTTCCTCCCAGGATTGAGGAGGATCAAAGAAAAGGGAGGAGCCTCCCTGGTGGTGCAGTGGTTGAGAGTCCGCCTGCTGATGCAGGGGACACGGGTTCGTGCCCCGGTCCAGGAAGATCCCACATGCCGCGGAGCGGCTGGGCCCGTGGGCCATGGCCGCTGAGCCTGCGCGTCCGGAGCCTGTGCTCCGCAACGGGAGAGGCCGCAACAGCGAGAGGCCCGCGTACTGCAAAAAAAAAAAAAAAAAAAAAGATCTTGCTGTGGTTTATGTCAAAGAGTGTTCTTCCTGTGTTTTCCTCTAAGAGTTTTATAGTGTCCAGCATTACATTTCCTCACACTGTCTTTAAAAACCCTTGCCTGAAAGCCATCGGGCGTTTGGGTTTTCTGAGCATGAGTTGCCCTTTCTCTTTGCTTGGCGTCCTGCAAGTAAACCCTGACTTTGCTGCAAACACCCGCTGTCAGAGCTTGGCTCTCTGCGCTGCCAGCACAGGAGCCCTTGCTCAGTTACATTCCAACCCCTTCCAGAGAGAAGTCCCTTTGGCAGGGGACAGCCAGCTCCACTCCCCTCCCCTTTCCCTCACCTGTGAAGCAGATGATGGTCTTGTGGAGGCCTGGGGACATGGCAGCTTGGCCAGGCTGTGCTGTGTTCCCCAGAATTCCTTTTCCGGGGTGCTTCTAAGGAGCAGGGGTCACAGAGGTTCCAGTGAGAGGCTTGAGGGCAGAGGCGGAGGCTCCCACCTGCTGTCCCTGCACTGCCCACTCCCCTCATCTGTGGGAGGCCGTGGCCCCAGCTGTGCCTCCCTCCCTGGACCCTCTTGCAGCGCCTCCGGCTCCTGGGCCAAGTGTGGGTGCTCAGCTCCGTGATCCAGGTCCAGCTTCTACAGACGCCCACCCCTCCCGGCTTGGAGGCCGCAAGAACTACCATGGGTTTCTGTCCATCCTCGCGGGCCCAGCTTGCAAGTGTGGATTCCAACTCACCCTCCATCTCCCCTACTTTACGTCCGTATTTCTTTCCCAACCACTCCCCGTCCTTGGGCTTCAAGCTCCAGCATCAGTGGGAAGACGACAGGTGTGCAGAGACTGCTCAACCGGCGGCCTCCCTGCCTGGGGTCCAATCCCCTGAGCGAAGCCACGGATGCCCATCTGCATCTCCCTTCTGCTGGTTCTGTTCCTCTGACTGCACGCGGACTCTACAGGTGGGGTTACGGATAGGTTTGACCTCACATGGTGGGATCCCAGGTCCTTGAAAATGTCTGGTTTACCCTAAAGTGGTGGTTCTCAAACTTGAGCTTGTATCCGAATCACCTGGAGGCCATGTTAAAACCCAGAGGGCTTCGCCCCACCTCCAGAGCTTCCAACGCTTGGGTCTGGGATGGGGCCCGAGAATTCGCCTTTCCAATAAACTCCCAGGGGATGTTGACGCTGCTGGAAGACGGTGAACACAAAGGTGAGGGGTGACGGCGGCCCACAGCAGGATCCGGGCAGGGGTGCTGCAGCAGACTCCCCTGGAGGTGGTGGTCTCCCCGCAGGGCCTCTGGGATCACAGGGCCAAGGAGAAACAAGGAGCCCTGTTCAGGCCGCCCCCTCGGGCTGCCCCTGGAGGGGAAAGCAGCCTGGTGGAGGGAGCACAGGCTGGGGGCAGGCAGACCCAATGCGACTCCCGACCCTGTCGCTGGAGCCAGTGTCCTTGGGCAAGTGTCCTGTTTGGTAGTTCAGGTGTTAATGGTGCCACACGGTTCTCACTGGGATGATGTATATAAAACATACGCTCAATAAACGCTGCTCTTTCAGTCCAGTCCCTGACCTGCTTTTTGCCACTGACGACTGATAACAATGCCGTTGAGTTTTTGACCGTTAAGTGAGAGACTTCACATTCACCTCCACTCAGTTTAGTTTTGTCGGTTTGAAGCCATCATTCCAGCCTGCTAAGATGCCGTCGCCTGGCAGCCTGCCTGCTATTCCTACATCAGCATTCCTGATACCATATTGCATGTCTTAGGGTCCAGCAGGGGCAGGACAGCAGGGCTTCCTCCCGACGTCAGGGAAGAAACAGTTCCTAACTTACCGCTTCCGGCGCTCGGACCCAGGAAGCTGCCTTCATGGTTTCTACTGAGTCTTTGCACCTCAACTGGAAACACCAACTTAAAAAAAAAAAATGGAAGTGGTAGAGGAAAGAAGGGTCCTGTGCACTCACCCTGGTGTGTGTTGCCACGCGGATACTTCCTGTGTAAACTGCAAAGCCTAAGAGATACCAGACCTGGGCAGCTTCAAAAGGGGGTGCTTTGGGCGATTCTCCCCTCAGTGGACCCTCTTCCCCATGAATAAACCACCAAAAAGAGAAAGAGGACTTAGGAACAAACTTCTAATAGAATTTAATGTTTTCAGGGATGGGACGGGCTGCGGCCTGGGGGGATAAACAGGGATTTCCGAAAGGCACAGCGGTCCCAGAGGGCTGGACTGGGCTGACTGGATGGCGAGGTCACCAGGTACTTTCTCTCTCCCTTCTCTGTCTCAGAACATTCTGGAACCATGGCTGCTCCTTAAACCCGGACTTGCTGTTGCTCCTTCTTCTTCACCTCTGCCCAGATGTCTGACAGGTCCTGGATAAACTGCTGGATCTAGCAAGGCCAGGGGACCGCAGTTAATCCCAGCAGGCCACAAGCCACCCATCCGGAAATGTCCTGGCATAATCTGCTTGTGAGGAGTCACCATTTCCTGTGACCGACTTTCCCTCATTTGACAATTATTCTAGTTGACATGGAGAATGAGGCTTAGCAGACTAGAAGTGATGAACATGGACGGAGCTGGGAACCCCTAGAGGAAGACGCAATGAGAGGATGAAGTACAGGCTGACAGTCTAACAAAGGGAGACAAAGGGAGGATCCTAAGTGGACTCAGGCTACACGCACTTAGCAGGAAGGGGTCAGCCAGGGTCAGGGCAGACGACTCTCCACTATTTAAAAGCCTTCAAGGAGGTCATCTGCTTGAAACCCAGAACTGATGCTCATTACGATAATCTTGAGTCATCAAGGGAAGTTTAAATTCTATTCACTAACTTTTGTTGTAAAGAACATGCAATCAGTACGACACAGTGGAAAAAGCACAGCCTCACAAGTCAGAAGACCTGGGGTCCTGCAATCTAAGCACCCGTCAGCAGACGGGATAAAGAAGATGTGGTATGCATACATACACATACACATACACACACACACACACACACACACACACACACACACTGGAATATTACTCAGCCATAAAAAAGAATGAAATAATGTCATTTGAAGCAACATGGATGGACCCAGAGATTATCATACTAAGTAAGTCAGACAAAGACAAATATTATATGATATCACTTATATGTGGAATCTAAAAAATAGTACAAATGAACTTATTTACAAAACAGAAACAGACTCACAGACATAGAAAACAAACTATGGTTAACGAAGTGGAAAGTGGGGGGAGGGATGAATTGGGCATATGGGATTAATAGATGCACACTATCGTATATAAAACAGAGAAACAATAAGGATTTACTGTAGAGCACAGGAAACTATATTCAATATCTTATAAAAAACTATAATGGAGGGCTTCCCTGGTGGCGCAGTGGTTGAGAGTCCGCCTGCCGATGCAGGGGACGCGGGTTCATGCCCCGGTCCGGGAAGATCCCATATGCCGCAGAGCGGCTGGGCCTGTGGGCCATGGCCACTGAGCCTGCACGTCTGGAGCCTGTGCTCCGCAACGGGAGAGACCACAGTGGTGAGAGGCCCGTGTACCACAAAAAAAAAAAAAAAAAAAAACTATAATGGAAAAGAATTGAAAATAAAAGAATATGGATATATACATACATACGTATAAATGAATCACTTTGTTGTTCATCTGAAACTACAATATTTACAATTTACAATATTGTAAACCAACTATACTTCACTTTAAAAAAGGATGACGACCTGGGGTCCTGATGCAGCTCTGGGGAAATCACTTCATCTTTCTGGGACTCAGTTTATCTTTAAAAAGGGAAGAGGGAGAAAAGGTTGGCCTAGATGGCCTTTAAGATCTCAGTCCTAAAATTGCTCCTTTTCAAGAATGTTCCTAAAGATGGGGCTACACAGACTGTCCAACACTCTCAAAAGCCCAGTTAGTTGCTAATACTGTTACTATTACCAGCACAATTCCTATTTTGCAAGAGAGGAGAGAAACAAACAGTGACTGAATTAGAGCAACTTTCCCAAGGTTACAGAGATGACAAGTCCAGTATTTCCCAAACTATGTTCTTGTAGTAAGTAATCACCTACCCCAAAAAGGGTCTGTGGTCAAGTAAGTTTTAGAAACTTTATCTGCTGGGAGAGTCTCAGGGCAGAACCAGAGCAAAGGCACTGTGAAGTCCTGTATTTTAAAACCAGCCACCTTTGTTTAACTTGAGTTTTCTAAATTTTATAGACCATAGAGCCCGTTTATTTCCCTGGAGGAGACTTACTACCATCCTGGGATTCTAGGGTTTGCCAAGCACGGTTTGGAAAATGCTGCTCCACTTTGGGCTTTATTCAGAAACAATAACGCTCGACCTTCTACACACACTATGCTGAACGCAAATCGTCTTGGCCTTTTGCAAAATCACTTTCCCTGAGTGGTACCTCGTTCCTGATTCTAAGTAAGTGGCTGCTTTCTGAAGCCCATGCGGGGATCTGCTGGAGGGACACTGCTGAGAACATCATTTCACTGAGTGTCTCTGAAGCCTCCTCGAAAATGTTCAGCTAGAGGTTAAGTGCTGGGAACGTTTCGCTCTTTCTGAAGAAACCATGTGTTTTCTTATTTTGGTACAAGAACTATGTGTTGCTTTTGCTTCTGGTTACCAGGAAGCTCAGAGCCAACTACTGTCCCTGTTGAACTACTGTCCTCTATACTCCAAGAATCCAGAGTCCACACATCTCTCTCTCGCCTCTGACCTCAGATTTTAACTTATATTTTCCCAGGTCTTTATTTTTCTTTTTTCAGGCTACTTAATCACGTGTGTGTAGGCTCATATCCTACAGGAATGAAGTGGACTATTTAAAAGTAACCTTTGGGCAATATGAGGGATTCCTATCGAAGCAAATCAAGGTTGAGAACAGGAGTTCCCTGGTAGTCCAGTGGTTAGGACTTGGCACGTTCACTGCTCGATGCTGGGGGCCTGGGTTCGATCTTTGGTGGGGGAACTAAGATCCCACAAGCCGTGCAGCCGGAAAAAAAAAAAAAAAAAAAAGAGGTTGAGAGGGAGTCCGAAAGCTCAGAATTTGGAGTGGATGGACTGTAAGCTACGGTCTGAGCAGGGGATGCTCGCCCACCACCTCCTGCCCCATCTTTCTTTACAACGGCTAAAGGAGAGGGATCTGAGGACGGCTGGGCGTCCTGAGACCCTACTGCCGGGGAGAGGGGTCTACGAGGCCAAAACTCTTTTTATAATAATACTAAGATGTTACTTGCCTTTTTTGCTCTTATTTTCTTCAGAGTCTACAGGGGCTTTTCCCAGAGTGGGATGTTCCCGTGACGTAGGCTAGCACGACAGGCTGAATGCAGAAGCAGGTGTGGCAATCCACCTGTCCTCCAGGAAGCCACGCATTCAAGGGGTTTGCAAGTATCAAATAATGCCACTCGTCCCATAAAATACTTTTTGAAAACGTGTTTTTCATTAAAAATGCTATTTGTGGGGCTTCCCTGGTGGTGAAGTGGTTGAGAATCCGCCTGCCAATGCAGGGGACACGGGTTCGAGCCCTGGTCTGGGAGGATCCCACATGCCGTGGAGCAACTGGACCCATGAGCCACAACTACTAAGCCTGCACGTCTGGAGCCTGTGCTCCGCAACGAGAGAGGCCGCGACAGTGAGAGGCCCGCGCACCGCGATGAAGAGTGGCCCCCGCTTGCCACAACTCGAGAAAGCCCTCGCACAGAAACGAAGACCCAACACAGCCAAAAATAAATAAATAAATAAATTTTCTAAAAAAATGCTATTTGTGTTCATGTGCTTCTTACTGTCATTTCTAAATGAATTATTTTTAATTTTTCTGCTCGAGTTTCTAATAAGGAAACATCAATTGATAGAACCCATATAAACAAAAGCTCTTTGAGGGTCTTCAATAAATTTTATGAGTGTAAAGGTATCCTGCTACCAAAAAAGTTTGAGGATCGCTATTTCAGAACAACTTTTCTTACAAATTCCCTTTACAGTCTTTGGACTGTTAATAATTCTGCTCTAATAAGCCTTACGATGCAGGCTGATTCTTGGGTTTAAGGAAATCCTACTTCCCGGCTGGTCAGTGGGTGAAATTCTTTACATTTCATGAGTTTCACCTTTTTTTTTTTTTTTTTTTTTAAACAGAGGAAGCACCTCTCAGTCAATTGCTTTTATCGGCTTCTGTTCCATATTCATTCACCAAATACTTACAGAGTGCCTGCTATCTGCCTGGCATTGTTCTAGATGCTGGGGATACAGCAGGAAAAAAGCAAACAGAAATCCCAGCCTTTGGGAGCCTACTGTCTACTATTTCATGGCAGAGCTAAAGGCTTTTGCCAAAAAGGATAAATAATTAATCATGGTTCTCTGCATGTTACAAGAAGCACGGCTACTGCATCTGCTGGCGTACCTTCCCAAACAGCGGGATGCGGGTACCTTTGGTCAAAAGTGAGACAATTTCAGGTGGCACACGGACATGGCATCCCATAGCTTTGAATCATACAGTGAAAAACTCATTTCCTTTCAATTACTTCAAAGAGAAAAATCTCAGAATGGTACTAATATGACTCTGACGCTTCCCTGCCCTTGCTGATTTCCCTCCCCGCACCACCCGCCAATTTTCTCTTTTCCCCAAGCGTGGGGGTCAGTCACAAGCCTTCAGCATCTCACTAGAACTTAATAAGACTGTTTTGTGTAACTAATGAATGCAGTAGCGGGTCCCTGCTACTGCCCGTGCTGATTGGGGCCAACAGAGCCTTAGTGCTAATGCAGTGGTTCTCAAAGTGTGGAACCCAGACCAGCACCATCACCTGGAAACTTGCTGAAAATGGAAATTCATGGCTTTTCATCTCAGACCCACCGAGTCTGAGACTCTGGGGGTGGGATTCAGTGATACCCCCCAGCCCTCAGGTGATGCTGATGCTGTGAAAATTTGAGAACCACTACTCTGTAGGAATCACGCCTCTGCCCAACCCAGGGAGAACCGTCGTGGCTCACTCGAGCCAGCTGGCCAGGCACTCGGGCCTCCTCTTACCGTGTCCAGCTGTTTGTGCGTGTCCTCCAGGGACACGGTGCTCGCCTCCTTCAGCTGCTTGCTCACGATCTGGAAGAGGTTCAGCGTTGCCATCTTAATGGTGCCAAGCAAGAGGGTCTTCTTGGCGGCGGTGTTCTGGATGTGTGCCCAGCGAGATTCCTGGGGAGGAGAATGAGGGCGGGGCGTGAGCGCTAGGAGTGTGTGTGTGCGCGCGCGTGTGTGTGTGTGTTTGTGTGTGTGTGTGTCCCTTACCCACCCGGGGCGCTCACCCAGATGATGACGTCGCTGCGGGCGCGGTCGAAGCGCATCTGCAGGCGCGCCAGCTCGTTGTTGTGCTGCAGGATCTCGTCGTCCTTCTCCTCCTTGTAGCGCGCCAGCCGGGCCTTGGCGTGCTCGACCTTCTCCTGGCCCTCCTGCGCCGACTGCATGAGGTCATGGTGCATGCTCACCAGCGTCTTGTAGCGCGCGATCACCTCGTGGATCTCTTCGAACTGCGGGAGGGGATGGGCGGGGGTGGGGGGGAGGGGAGGGACGGACTCGGACCAGTGCACCGCCACCCAAGGGGTCCGACCCCACTCTGTGCCCTCCACTCCCAGCCTTGATGCCTCTGCCCGGCAGTGAGGCCCTGGGCCAAGGGGCAGAGGCTGCGAGGCCCTTGGAGTCCCCCTGTGCTCCTCCTGAGTTGGTATGGGCCGTGGGCCACGTGTTGGGAACACGTGCATCTAGACCCAGGGCTCTCAGTCTTGACTGCCGGTTATTAGAATCACCTGGGAGCTTAAACAAAGCTACGTGCCAGCCTCCACCCTCAGAGACCCGGATTAATAAACCGCTCTGAAGGTTCCCCAGCTGAACAGGAGATAAGAAAGCCAGACCCTGCTTTTAGGAAGCCTTACAACTTGGGGTGGTGGGGTAGGACAGACAGACAAGTAAATAGTCAGTTACAACACAGAGTGATAAGGCCTCTCGGTGACTGGGGGATGGGCTGCAGGCGACTGTTGGGTAGTATCTTCAGCCTGGTGCTCTCTGGTATTTGTTCAACAGGGGCTGAGGCCTCCCTCCGGCGGGGTCTGGAGAGGGTGGGTACCAGTGGGGCAGGTGGCTGGCCAGGCTCAGCTGCCCCGTCTGCCACAGTGCAGGGCCACGCTGCTCTGGCCCTAACTCAGCAGAACAGAAGCCCTGTAACCCTCCCTCTCTAGAAGGCGCTCTGAGTACCAGCTCCAGGATGCCAACTCACGTCCCCGGGGTGTGGGGGGGTTATCAGCACGTGACTTCCAGCCACCCAGGGGACACTCCGTGAGTTGTCTCTCCATCTCATGACATTTCCAGTGATAGACTGGTGTTCTGGGAACTGGCCTCTCCCCAAATACATCCTCTGTGGGCAAGGGCCACTTAACCCAGCATTAGAGGAAATGGGGACAGCCAGAAAAGGCTTCCTCAGGAAAAGGATGGTTAAAATGAGACCAGAGGTATGACGAGAAGGCGGGCCAGAGGTATGACGAGAAGACGGGCAGGCAAAGGCAGGTGGGGGAAAGCGAGGAAGTAGTACAGGTAGACGGAACAGCCTGGGTAAAGATGATGGTGTACGTGTGGCATATCCAGGATGAGCAAGAGAGTTTAACGTGAATGTCCTGGGTTCAAGATGGGGAGGGAGAGATCACCCTGGAGAAGTTAAAAAAGTGCCCAGTAAACCCTGAGGAGTGTGAACTTCATCCACTGAAGGAGAGAGCAGAGAGAGAACTTCCTGTCTGCATTTCTGAGAGATGCAATGGTATACAACAGCTAGAACGAATGGGATACATCAGAGCACCCAGGAGCACCTCTCCAAAACTGAACGCTGATGTCAAAAGGTCCCAGGTGCCAACTTGAAGAGGCTGCCACTGTCCAAAGATGGGACCCTTTGAACATCAGTAAGAATAAGTGCGAAGGATTGAACCATATCAAATGTGTTGTTCGCGGTGATACTAACAACATTACAGGGCACTTTCGGAGGATGCTGGAGAACCAACTCATTATTCTGAAGACTGTAATGAAGAATCAAGCATTTAACAAGATTTTTCTTTAAGGCCCACCTAGTCATCAACTAGTTGATGAAGGGAAGTATGAAGTCCTTTTCCAGATGGTAGTATTCTAGATAATATGTGAAGAGGGGGACTTAGGACATTTCCAGCACCCTAGAAGAATCTTTGGCCCCCTTTCAGTCAGTATCTGCCCCGAGGAAACCAGAATTATGACTTCTATCCCCCATGATTCATTTCACCTGTTTTGAAACATATCAGTAGAATCATACAGTAGGTCCTCTTTCATGTCTGGCTTCTTCTGATCAGCATAGTAATAACGTCTGGGACACTTGAGAAACACATCAACCAAATGCAGTTTGGGGACCTTATTTGGACCCCAATTGGGACAAACCAGCTGTACAAAAAGCATTTGTGCAATAACTGGGGAAATTTTGACGTCGGCTGGATACAGGTATTGTGGCTATGTGAAAAAGAGCTCTTTTAGAGCCATATAATGAAATACTTATAGATGAAAACAATATCATTTGCTTCAAAATGGCAGCGACGGGGATCTGACAATGAGCTGATGATGGCTGGAATTAGGTGATGAGTAATGGGCATTCAATAGACTCTTTTCTCTGCTTTTGTATACGGCTGAAATTTCCCATGATACAAAGCTTTTTTTTCTCTTTAAATCATTGATTGGAAAAAAGCCATAAAAGGACATGTACATACTCTTCATAGTTTATGGATAATGTAAACTGTGGACCCAAATAATAACAAGCCTGAGAATGAGAAGCTTAAAAATCTGGATTACTGGTTACCCCTGAGGAGAGGAGAAGAATGGTGTTTGGAAGGGGGGCACACTGGGGGTTTCAATGACCAGTCGTGTTTTATTTTAGGAAAAAAAGGGGCAAATTGGGGGAAATACTAAGATCTGACGAAGCTGTGGAGAGTACTTGGGTGCTGTCATATATTTATGTATACTTTTCAGTACGCTTAAAATATTTTGCAAGAACTAAAGGACGAGGAAAGAGAATGAGAGATGGGGACCCCATTGGATGTAGAATGCTGGACAGACTGGTGGCGAGGCATAACGCAGAGCTGAACTCCTGGTGAGGTACACTGGTGGTCTGGATGAGGAAGGGGCAGGGGCTGGATTCCAGAAATACTTAGGAGGCAGAATAGACCAGATCTGCTGATGGATGGCTGCGGGGAGTGGGGGAGAAGGAGGAGGAGTCCAGGAAGAAGCTGGAGTTGTGGCGAGGCTGTGGGTGGGTGGTCTTGCCCTTCACCAGCGCCGGACCCACCCGCAGCAGCGCTGGCCTGGGGGTGGCAGGAAGCAGTCGTGGACTCAATAAATTAGATGTACGGGCCTGACGCTTAGGAGGGAGCTCCAGGCCAGAGAGATCCAGGCCAATCTCCTCCATTCCAAGACACATTTTACTAGCTCTAAATTTGAGTCGTGTCCTATAATCTATCTGCTGCTTTAATATACTAGTCTTCTCTCACTCCCCCACCTCCCCCAAAACCCAATTATTAAATGAACAATTTATCGTACAGTAGGTAGTACCTTAGAATGCAGGAAGTAACACGGACTTGGGACTCATGCATAAATAAATTAGGTTAGTGGTTCTATATGGAAATTGCCAGGACTTTTTAAAAAGTGGTGCATCCTTTGTCTCCCTGTGCCCCCCACAGGACATGGGTTCACACCCCAGAGGGCATACCTCATACCTCTCTCCACCCTGGTGAAGGACCCTGCTGCTGTCACATGGGAGGATGGGGGACATAGGTGGATGGCCGTTGACATGGGTGACATCCATCAGAGGCCCAGGGAATTCCTCAGGGAGAAAAGTGCAGGGTGTGGGACAAAGACCCGAGGAACTTGAGGAAGAGGAGCCCCAGAGGAGCCTGAGGAGGAAGGGCCAGAGGTAGCCTGAAAGTAGAAGGAGGGAGGAGTCCCAGAGGAAAGGGCACAGGTATATTTCAAGCAGGAGCATGGACAGTGTCAAACACTCCAGAAAGCATGGGTGGGCAGAAGGCAAACAAGTTCCTTAGCTCTGGCAACAAGGCAACTTTATGAAGAACAGTTGTCAGTGGCTTTGTGGGGCCCACCGAAGGGTGGTTAGAAGCAAGAGCTCTGCCACTTATAAGCTGTGCATCCCTGAGCAGGTTACCTAACCTCTCTGAGCCTCCGCTTCTTCCTCGTAACAGGGTGAAATGATGGCTTTCCTCTGGGGGCTAGTGAGTGGACTGAGCAAGGCTACGCTTGCAGCACCCACCCAGCCCAGGGCCCAGCACATGCTAAGTGCCCAGCTCTGCGCAAGGCTGGTGCTTTCTCTGCCCATCTACTCTCAAGTAAGCTAAAGAACACCAGGGAGGAGGGGAAGCAGGGAGAGTGTGGGTCACATCCGACGCAGGCCAAGCTGATCGTTGGTGCTCCAAAACAAAACCTCGCTCCTAGACACAGACACGGGACCCATATAGAGACAGGTCCACAGATGTCATACGCGCACAGATACACCGCCAGGTTCCCACCCTTGAGAAATGAGTCCAGCCTCACCAGGGGCCTCTGCCAGCTGCCCTCCTTGGCTGGAGGCCTTTCCCCAGAGCAGGTGACCATCCCTGCCCCAGTCCCCTCACAGCCCAGGCCCCTGGGGAAGAGTAGGTGGGCCTGAGGAACCTCCACGCACCTCGGAGTTCTCCACCACCTTCTCCAGGTACTTGTTGAAGATGGAGTATTCCTGCAGCTTGGCGCTCAGCCTCTGGTGCTCCAGCCGCAGGGCCGCCATCTCCTGCTTGGCCTTGGTCAGCTCTTGCGTGCACTGCCTCTTGAGTTCTCGCTCCTTGTTGGCCTTCTTCAGGGCCCGGATCCGTTTCTGGTCGTTCTCCTGGGGCCAGGGAGATGATGCCAATCGGGCGTGGGTCCTGCCCTCCCTGGTGCCCAGGCTGGTGGGGCTCCCACAAGGCCTCTGTCCACCCTGAGGGTGGACGGCGGTGGCCAGGCTGCCCACGTGGCGGATGAGGTGAAAGGAAGCGCGTCTCCAGGGTTATCTGAAGCTGGTTGAGGGGTTTTCTGTGGACTGAGGAGGCTGAGAGGACAGAGATTTAATCCAACATCAGAAGGTGGCCTTATGGGGACGAGACAGGACGTGATCCTGACTCTGCGGAATCTGAGCTCCGGAAGCCCCACGCCCCACTGGAGTGTCTGGAGAGAACTCAAACCCTGGGAAAGGCTGGGAAAATCTTCTGATAAAGTTTCCATCTCTATTCTTTTTTTTTTTTTTTTGGCCGCACCGCTCCTCTCGTGGGATCCTAGGTCCCCAATCAGGGATAGAACCGGAGCCCCCTGCAGTGGAAGCGCGGAGTCCTAACCGCTGGACCACCAGGGAAGTCCCTCATCTCTATCCTCAGTGGTGGCCATTTGTCACAGGGCAGAGTCCTGGGCCCAGACCTGGGAAGCCCAAATTTTCTCCTGATTTGGTGCCTCACCTTCTCCAATTGTAGAAATGAGAGGCAGGAGCCCCTCTCTTCCTTTCAAAAGCTGGGGCAACCCTGCTGGAGCTCTAGGGAGACGAGCTAGGAGGTGGGCCTAGTCCGGAGGGCCTGGTGGGGCAAGGCCATTCTGGAGGGGATGTTCCTATAGCTCAAGACTGGCATCAGGTGGGGACAGGAGGAGATGATGCAGGGAATTCAATGCCCAGAAAGAAAGACACGAGGCTCAGCTGCTGCAAGTGGCTGGTCCCGTCCTCCTTCCTTCCTTGGGAGGACAAGGTCTCCTCCCAAGATGAGGGGCAGACCTCTCACACTGCCTGTGTGTGGCTCCTTTCCCCCTTCAGGGGCTGTGGTGATTCCACCCAGATGGGTGCCTGTGGTGGTGGCATTTGGAAGACACGGAAGAAGGCACCCGGGGGATTTGCATTCTGCCCTGTGGGTCCAGGAGAGGACAGAGGGGCCCCAACCCAGTGGTTTCCAAGTCCAGCCGGGCATCACAATCCCCTGCGGATACTTTTAACAATACAGTCGACCGGGCCTGACCTCAGGCCTGCTGAAAGCAAGGAGAGGGGAGGGGCCCAGGGTCCGTATCTGTAACAAGCTCTCCAGGATTCCGACAATTTGCAGAACCCCTCACCCCCAAATCTCCTGCCACCCCAAGCACTCCATGAGCTTTTCTCTGGCCAGTAAGAAAGACTGGACCTCTGGAGAATAATGCCTGGTCCATCAGCTTCCTTTCCCACCTGGTTTAGGCAGAGAGAGAGACAAAGATGCTTGAGAACAGGACTGCCCTGTAGCAGAGGCCAGAGGTTACCCCCTGGGGCTGGGCCAGCCCTTCAAGGCTCGGCAGGTGCCCGGTTGGAGCCAGTCTGGAGAAATCTGGATTTTAAAACGGTTAAATCCCTCCTCTCAGGACACACTGAGAGGGGTTGTCTCATAGGGGACTCCAGTACCTGGTTCTTCAATGCCCCCTGCCTGGGCCTTCAGTGCAAGGATGGAGGGGTAGGGTGAGCTGGGGGGACTAAAACCCTGTCTGGGGGCTTCCCTGGTGGCGCAGTGGTTGAGAATCTGCCTGCCAATGCAGAGGACACGGGTTCAGTCCCTGGTCCAGGAAGATCCCACATGCTGCAGAGCAACTAAGCCCGTGTGCCACAACTACTGAGCCCATGTGCCGCAACTACCGAAGCCTGCACACCTAGAGCCCGTGCTCCGCAATGAGAAGCCACCGCGATGAGAAGCCCGCGCACCGCAACGAAGCCCGCGCAACGAGAAGCCCGCGCACTGCAACGAGAAGCCCGCGCACTGCAACGAGAAGCCCGCGCACCGCAACGAAGAGTAGCCCCTGCTCGCCGCAACTAGAGAAAGCCCGCGCGCAGCAGCGAAGACCCAACACAGCCAGAAATAAATAAATAAAATAAATAAAAACTTATTTAAAAAATAAAACCCTGTCTGATTCATCTTTGTATCCCCAAGTGCCTGGCCCTAACCGTGGCACATTCATTCATTTATTCATCATCCATCATTCATTCATTCACTGGATAAACTGGATGTGCCAACCACAGGCAAGGAAATAGGAAACAGCAATCTAGAGGGGGCAGAGACGGACAGGGCAGCCGGAAACTATCAATGCAAACGGAGCAGTAGGAGGGGGAGATAAAGGGGCAAGCCCCAGGCACTGGTGAGCACCAAGGAGACCTCTAACCCAGGGCGAGGAGTCGGGGAAATGGAGGCTGAGGAGGGAGGGGGAAGAGGTAGGGAGAGGGAGGAGGGGCAAGCTGACCAACTGCAGAGCGTGGCAGCCCTGCTGCAGCAGGCCACACCCCTTCGTACCCGGATGAACTGCTCAAACTTCTGTATGTGGGCTTTCAGCTGGGCCTCCTTGACTCCCAGCTCCTCCCAGCGCAGGTTCAGGGTTTCCATTCTGCGCTGAAATATCTAGGGGGGAGGGGGGAGCAGAGAGGTCAAGAGGACCCCTGAATGGGAACCAAGGAAGGCCCCAGCATCCCCTGCCCTAGAGCCCCTGTCCCCAGGTGCCCACTTTCCACCCCACGTCTGGTTCAGAGCAGAGCATCGCAGGACACTGGTACCCCAAGACTCGGAGCCCTTCTGTGCTGTGCAGAGGAAACACAGATCAACACCCACGATGCCTGGCTCTAGCCACCACCACCCACAAAACAGAGGGCCGTCCTCAGGCTCTCCCTGAGCCGTGGCCCTCCCCGCATCCAACCCTTGCGTCTCCCACCTCCTTCTTCTGCTCCATGGCATGGTGCATGAGCTTGGCCTCTTTCTTCTTCTCCAGCAGCCGGATGGATGGGGAGTCTGAGTGGTCCTCAGTGCTGGGGAACTTCCTGCCCAAGACACAGGCAATAGGGACTGTGGACTCTGAGCGCCTGGGGCAGCCCGGGACCGGGAGGAACCCATGGAGACAGGCACCCACGGGGAGGGAAGGCGCCCTACCCCATCTGAGCGAAAAGAACGGTGTGCTCAGGGGGAGAGAGGGCCGTGCTGGGGAGCAAGCTGGGGCCGGGGACGGGCGGGATTGGTGCCAGTGTGATTTGCGGTGCTGGGTTATAGGAGCAGGGGGACAGGTAGGAAGGTGGGGCAACGGGTGGGCACGGCGGTCCCAGGCCCTCCGACACTCACTGCAGCAGCTGCAGCAGCCTTTGCCCATACTGCAACCGGAAGTACTCGGCCAGATCCTCCCCCTCCATGGTGCCCAGACTCATGGAGGCCGTGACCTAATGGCCCAGCGGCCGAACCTTCACAGTGAAACGGGGGTGGCGGAGCTCAGGGGTGGTGGCAGGGCTTGCTTCTCCCCTCCTCCTGCTTTTCAGGGTCCCACAGAGGGTGGGTGTCTGAGAGATTCAGGGAAGATGGCTGGAGGCTGCCTATCGGCAGGCAGCTCAGGATGTGTCGGCTGGGAGATCTGGTTACCTAGCAACAAGTCTCTGGGTTCTGTGAACCACAAGCGGAACCCAGACTTTGCCCTTTGACCCCTGTCCACACTGACCCCACTCTGGCTGGGGTCTGGCTCTCTGCTCCTTCATTTATCCCTCAGGAACTCTGGGAAGAAGTTCGGCCTCATTTGATGCTGGTGCGGAGGGCCGGGGAGGCAGGGGCTAGGCGTCCATGGCTGCGAAAGGGGGGTTTTGGTAGAGGCGTGTTTTTGCAGGGCAGCCCTGCCCGGGGGGGGGGGGGGCTCCCTCCTGGGCTCAGGTGTGTGTGTGAGGGCGAGGCAGGGGGCTGGGGCTGGGACAGATGGTTGAGGAGGAAAGAACTGAAGGAAGCTGTTTAGCTGAGGCAGGGGTAGGGGTGGACAGAGGCGCATGGGGCCCGTGGGAGGAGGGGAGAAGGCCCGAAGTTGAGAGACAAGTAGTGGGTGAAGGATGTGTAGGGGTGTATGTGTTGGGAGGGGGCTGGGGCGGGGTGCAGATAGGCGATAAGCCTGGGGACCAAAGAGGCCGTCCCCTGGAGAGATGGAGGAGGCCCAGGACGAGGCCCCTCGTAGGGTAAGAGGCTCAGGGCCAGTGCCATGTTTTGAGGTTGGCGGAGTATTGAAATAGGAAGAAATGCCGAAATGTGTTAACATAAATGTCAGATATTTTACATGTCTGCTTTATGACGCCTGCCTTCCTTGATCCCATCAGGGCATTGTGCATCAGCTCATCTGGCCCGAGGTCCAGCGTCTAAATCTGAGACCCTGTGTGTGAGGCGGACACCCTGGGACCCCCGCCCGGAGGTTAACAGCCGTGACCTCGCGCCCGCGCTGCCGGGCACAGGCTTCCGGGCTCCGCTGGGTTCTCCCTGCTTCCCCTGCGCACGCCGGCCGCGCGGCCCGGGTCCCCTCCGGGTCTGGGATGCGGAGCCGGGGTGGGGCGGGGGTCTCGGGCGGGGCAGCGTCCCAAGCCCGGCAAGTCCTCCGCGAGGCAGTGCCTGTCCTCTGGCGCCCCCTGCTGGCCGCCCGAGCCCGCCCTCAATCCCGGCCGGGGAGGAGGAGGAGACGTGGCGGGGCGCGGCCCACCCCGCCCTTTCCCATTCCCTCCCCCAAGTCTCGCCTCCAGAGCCAGCCCGGCGGGATCTGCAGAGGCAGCCTGACGGCCCCCACCCCACCCAAACACCCCCTCACCACCCCACTCCACCCTCAGCGCCTCCACCCGAGAGGGTTCTCCATCGGGAGCACCCGCAAGAAACAGACCCTCTCCTTTTTACTCCCTAGAGTTTGGCACAGCGGGGGTTTGCCTCCCGTTTCCCCCAAGAGGGTGTGTGTGCAACGCCCGGCCTTGAGGAGGAGGCTCTCTGTTTCTCGAATCACCTGCTTCCCCTGTTTTTTTTTGCGGTACGCGGGCCTCTCACTGCTGTGGCCTCTCCCGTTGCGGAGCACAGGCTCCGGACGCGCAGGCCCAGCGGCCATGGCTCACGGGCCCAGCCGCTCCGCGGCATGTGGGATCTTCCCGGACCGGGGCACGAACCCGTGTCCCCTGCATCGGCTGGTGAACTCTCAGCCACTGCGCCACCAGGGAAGCCCCTGCCCTGGTATTTTGACACGTCGTTGGTTGCATCTACGAATCGGGTGGTCCAGGGCCGGGTTGGTGCACACAGGCAGCTGTCAAGGCATCTTCTTCTCCTGCCGGTGTACGTGCCCGTGTAGCGTTTCTGTTGCTTCTGTACCTTGTGGGAAAGTCATGAGAATCTTCATCCCCATCACCCACCATCCCTCCCTGGGGTCTCACTGCCTTTTCCAGAGCTGTGGGTCAAGATGCAGGGCTGTCTGGGATTCACAGAAGTCTGTGCTCTCCCCCACTCCTCTCCTCTTCCCTCCTTGGGTGAGCCCAGCTTTCTTACCATCCTTCACCCCCTACCTCCACTTTTCCATCTTGATATTTGCCTCCGAGGCATCTAGGAAAACCTGATGGATTTAGGTTGTTGGGGACCAATAGGCATAATATTTTCTGTTTTCTATCCTGTCCCATCCTCCCTCTGAGACAATTACCTGTTTGAAAAGGGAGAGGGGGAAAAATATCAGGAGGAAGAAAGATCTAGGTTAACGTCTCAAAAAATATTTCCTGCCATATAGGCCAGCACAGTACTAGGTACACACAGAGTACTGGGTGTGAGGAAACCACTTTTTGTCTATGTTATTTTCCATGTCTTAGATTCCATGTAAGTGGAATCACACAGATAAACTATATTAAATACATTTCAAAATGGACGTTATGGAAATTCCTTGTATTGGTCAACTATGTTGATGTTAGTTGCTGTAACAAGTCTCAATAGCTTACCAAGGTCCAATATGGATTTTCTCAAGTGGGGCAGCTCTCCTGGGAGATTCTCTTCCAAGCAGTGAAAAGTGTAAGCCCCTTCCATCTCGCAGCTCCATGACCTCCAAGGTCGCTACGGAAGGGAAAGAAAGAAAGCAAAGGCCCTTCTGCTCTTAACAAACCCATCACCATGTCCATTCACTGACCTCTGGTGGGAACCGGTCACGTGACTAGTTATGTTGCAAGGGGCTAGCGATGTGGTTTAGCTGTGTTCCCAGGAGCATCAAACCAGTTTGTGCTGTACTTCTTTTGAGAATTAAAAGAATGTTTGGCTGTAAGCTGAAAGCAGAGCTTTATAGAAGAACTAATTATAGACAAAGAAAGAAAAAAACAGGCCAGACACAATCTCAAGTATGAAAATCCTTGTAAATCAACTATACTTCAATTTAAAAAAAAAAAGAAAATCTTAATGAAAACATTATCAAATTTAATTTAGTGTGAGGTTAAAAGAATAATTCACCAGGACCATGAATACAAAAATGATTTAATATTAGGAAGTCTATTAATAAAATTAATTCTGTAAATATGTCTCAGGAGAAAAGACATGATCATTGGGATATACGCCAACAATGCATTGGAAAATTCAACATCCATCCTGATTTTAAAAATTCCAAATTATTAGTACACAAAGACACTTTATCAACTTGATAAAAAATATCTGAACCCAACAGATAACGTTATAATTTCCATTAAAGACATTTTTGTTAGAATTAGAGACATGACAGGTTTTCTTCTGTCACTACAATCATTGGACATTGTTTTAGATGCTCTGTCTATTGCAAAAAGACAAAAAAAAGTTTTCTATTTTTTTTTCTTTTTCTTTTTTTCATAATGACAGATGCTGTGATCATGTACTGTGAAAATCCAAGAGAATGGTTAATTAGTGAAAAACAATTAGAATTTAATGTAATTCTATGCTATTTATAAGAAGATTGAGGTTCATTTATATGCACGGACACGGAGAGGTTTCTGTGATAAATTGCTATGTGACAAAAGCGAGATGCAGAACAGAATGTGTAGTGTGTGTGTGTGTGTGTGTGTGTGTGTGTGTGTGTGCGCGCGCGCACGCGTGCATGTGTGCCTGCGGTGTGTGTATAGTTAAGCACGGCCCTAGAAGGATAGCACCATATTTCTGGGGACAGAATGACATGGGGGTGGGGTGACGGTTCTTTATATTCCTATACTGTTTAATTTCTTTTTGTACAATGACCACATGTTATTTTTGTAATCTTGAAAAAAAATGAGAAAAAGATATCCATCCGTCTTGGCAGGCAGCAACAAAAGAAATTCTAAGAAATAAATAAATTTAGCGAGAAATACGCAGGATCTTCAAAAAGAAATTTTTACATTTTTACTCAGTGATATAAAAGAACTGAGTAGAGACTTACACTTCTGAATAATGACTCAATATTGTAAAGAGGTAAATTCTGTCCAAATGGATTTAGGAACTTGACGTACTTGCAATCAAAATCCCAGAGAGATTTTTTTTTTCCCCAGAAGCTGACAAAATAATGTCTAAATTATTTGGAGAATTAGAGCACTTAAATATTGAAAAAGAAGAATAACAAGACCGAATGTCCACTGCTCCATACTAAAATATGTTATAAAGATAAAATATTAATGTTGCTAGTGTCACTCGAGACAGAAAAAACTCAATAACCTAAGAGCTTGGGCGAGTAACTTGGTCTAAGACAGAACTGACTCTCTAGACCCCCTAAAGCAGGGGTCCCCAACCCCTGGGCCACGGACTAGTACCGGTCCGCGGCCTGTTAGGAACCGGGCTGCACAGCAGCGGGTAAGCAGGGGCGAGCGAGTGAGCGACACTTCACCTGCCGCTCCCCATTGCTCGCGTTGCTGTCTGTGGAAAAATTGTCTTCCACGAAACCGGTCCCTGGTGCCAAAAAGGTTAGGGACCACTGCCCTAAAGGTAGTAAAATTCACAGGCTTAAAAAACACCTCCGGCCAAAACCAAAACAAGTTGAAACACACATGTGGAGGTCTGTTGAGCCCACAGTGCCACAGTTTGTGATCCTTGCTACACTGAATCAGAATAGAAAGCCCAGAAATAGACCCAAGTTTATACAAGGATGCGTTGTATGCTAATGTGGCATTCAACCAGTGGAGAAAGTGTGGATTATTAAACAAATGGTATTGGGGTAACTAGCTGATTATTTGGGAAAAAGAAAAATATATACAAATTTATTTTATTTTTCAAGTAAGAATCGTATCTACTTAGGGAGTACAACACGATGATTTGATATACATCTACATAGTGAAAATGGTAACCACAGTCAAGCTAATTAACGTAGCTACCTCACATAGTTACCATTTTTTGTGTGTCTGGTGAGAGCACCTGAAATCTACTCTCTTAGCAAGTTTCCGGCATTCAAGACAGTATTATTAACTGTAGTCGTCATGCTGTATGTTAGATCTCTAGGCTTACTCATCCCACACAGCTGCAACTTTGTACCTTTAGACCAACATCTCCCTACTCCCCTCAGATCCCCACTGCTCGAACCACCATTCTACTCTCTGCTCCTCTGTATTCCACTGTTTTAGGTTCCATATATCCGTTAGATCATGCTGTTTTTATCTTTCGGTGCCTGGCTTGCTT